GAGGTGGAACGGCTTTGTGTTTGGTGCAGGAGGAATAATTTGATCCTCAACACCACCAAGACCAAGGAATTGGTAGTGGACTATAGGAGGAACAAAACGGAAATCAAGCCACTGTTTATTGGTGGAGAACGTGTGAAGAGGGTGGCTACTTTTAAGTTTTTGGGAGTGATTATTGAGCAAAACTTGACCTGGAGCGCTAACACCACTGCTCTGGTGAAGAAGGCCCAGCAGAGGCTCTTTTTTCTCAGACTTTTAAAGAAAAATAACTTGAGTGAGAAAATACTGATGTCCTTCTATCGTTGCTCAATAGAGAGCATTTTAACATACTGCGTCTGTGCCTGGTTTGCCAGTTGTACAGCTGTGGATAGGAAAGCACTCCAGAGAGTTATCATCATAGCCCAGAAGATTATTGGCTGCCCTCTCCCATTCCTGGAGGAATTGTATAGCTCTTGATGTTTGAAAAAAGCAAAGAACATTTTGCAGGATTTGTCACATCCTGAACACTCCCTGTTTGAACTGCTGCCTTCGGGTAGAAGATATAGGACAATTAAAACAAGGACAAACAGATTAAAAAATAGTTTTATTCGAGAGCTATTATTGCTTTAAATGCTGTCTGAAATTGGAATTTGGGTGACATTGGTGGTTTAAGTTGCAATGTGAACCTTAAGGGAGTTATGGGATGGTTGTGAATGGTTGTGTGAGTGTATATGAGTATGGTTGTATATGAGTATGGTTGTAGATCATCGAAATGATTGCATCTTTAATTTGTACTATGTACTATGTACTATGTACTATGTACAATGACAATAACAATGACAATGACAATGTACTATGTACAATGACAATAAAGTATATTATTATTATTATTATTATTATTATTACCAGCACCTTGAAGCGAATCCGGTATGCTATCGGCAGCCAGTTCAACGACTTCAGCACAGGCTGGATGTGTTCCCAGGGCCAGGGCCTTTTCAGGGGCGGCTCCTACCTGATGGAATGAGCTCCCGGAGGAGATCAGGGCCCTGCGGGACCTCTCACAGTTCCGCAGGGCCTGCAAGATGGAGCTTTTCCGCCAGGCTTTCGAGTAGGAGCCGCCACGGCCACCACCACCGACCATCCTGCGATAACAACGGGGAAATGGGATGGCCCAATATAAGACCACTGCTGAGTACCGTGATGGATCGGTGCCGCCGAAATGGGCTCTGGGTTAACATCTACAAGCCTTAATCTTGACTTCACTAAAACAAGAATATCACGGAGCACTTTATTCATGTTAATTGGTTGTTTTTATTCTGATTTTAATGTTCTATATTTGGCACTTGGTGCCCTTGTTGTGAGCCGCCCTGGGCCTGCAATGCCCAGGATAAAAATGTAATAAATGAATGGAATGAAATGAAATGAAAGAGCCTGGCCGCCGCGTTTTGCACCAGCTGCAGCTACCCGAGTTGTGCCAAGGGCAGCCCCATGTAGAGAGCATTGCAGTAGTCCAACCTTGAGGTGACCATTGCATGGAACACTGTTGCCAGATCATTGCGTTCGAGGAAGGGAACCAACTGCCCGGGGCCTGGAGATCTGGAGGCAGCGCCTAGGGAAGACACGGTTCAGGGGGATCGGTTGTAATTCCGGGAGATCGACGTTCATTCCAGCTCTTCAGGCCCCACCGGGAGGTTGGGAACCCTACCATGGAACCCTGGAGCCAGTTCTGCCCGGCCAGACTCAAGCAAACTGAGAGAGAAGTGGGGAGGGAGAATACCCATTTTTGAGCTCTCTTTTGCCCTCCCTAGATTGCCTGTGACTACGGGGAAGATCCGGTCTTGACCTCCGTGTTGAACGCCATGGATATCTTCCTGCTGCCCGTCGCCAATCCCGACGGATACGTCTTCTCTCATACCAATGTGAGTCCTTTCCGACACACCCCACCTCCCGTTGCTGCTCAAGCTCCTCTCTCAGACCAGAAAGAGGGAAGGTGACCCCCGCCCGCCCTTTGCCTTTTGCTTTCAGAACCGCATGTGGAGGAAGACCCGTTCTAAAGTCGCCGGCAGCAGCTGCATCGGAGTGGATCCCAACAGAAACTGGGACGCGGGCTTTGGAGGTTGGTCTCATTTGGGGGCCAATACTGTCGCGGGGAGAGTCAGTTTGGCATAGTGGTTAGGAGGGCGGACTCGAATCTGGGAGGACCGGGTTCGATTCCCCACTCCTCCACTTGCACCTGCTGGATGACCTTGGGTCCAGTCACAAGTTCTCTCAGAGCTGTTCTCTCAAGGGCAGTTTTCAAGAGAGCTTGCTCGGCCCCACCCCTCTCAGTCCCACCCACCAAGGTGTCTGTTCACTGCTCAGGCTCCACTGGACTGTTTTGGATTGCTAGCTATGGGGGGGGGGAACGTGCAGATCTGTCCTCGCAGAGTGGGGAGAGCTTGTGCCTGAATAAAACTTGGTCTTAAAGGTGCCACTGGACTGTTTTGGATTGCTAGCAATTGGGGGGGGGGAAACGTGCAGATTTGTCCTTGCAGAGGAGGGAGAGCTTGTACCTGAATAAAACTTGGTCTTAAAGGTGCTGCTGGATTGTTTTGGACTGGGGGGCCGGGGGGAGCTCTGCAACTTACCTGGCTGCTTCTTGCTCTGACTGAGGGCTGCTGGGAGCAGGGGGTGGGGCTTGTTGCATGTGCCTGCCCCCTGGGGGGGTAACATGCAGATCTGCCCTCACAGATGAAAGCTGATATCCAGAATTAAACTTTGTTGGTCTTAAAAGTGCCACTGGACTCAAACTTGGTTCTACTGAAACAGAATGTACCTGAAGAAGTGTGCTTGCACACGAAAGCTTATGCCCAGAATTAAAGTTTGCCGGTCTTAAAGGTGCCACCGGACTCAAACTTGGTTCCATTAAACCGTCAACTCACTCAAACAGCATTTCAAATAGAAGCGTAGATAAAATATTTACAGTGGCGAGGTGGATTCTTTGTTCAAAGCTTCTGCAATGTCCTTCGAGTCTCACATCACGTCCCAGATTTCTTTAATCGGCTCATGGCTTGTCTTTCTGTCTCTGTGATCCAAGCAAATGCATCAGCTCTGAACTCCCCTCCTCTTTTAATTTCATCATTTTGACGCCCTCCTTCTTTTGGCAGGACCGGGCGCCAGCAGCAACCCCTGTTCCGATTCCTACCACGGTCCCAGCGCCAACTCCGAAGTGGAGGTCCGGTCCATTGTGGACTTCATCAAGAACCACGGGAATGTCAAGGCCTTCATTAGCATCCACAGCTACTCCCAGCTGATGATGTACCCTTACGGGTACAAGTGCAGCAACCCCAAGGATTCAAAAGAGCTGGTAAGCCATGGGGAGGGGGGGATCCTCCTCTCTACTGGTGCAGCCTTCCCTGCTGTAGCCTGGATGCTGGATGAAAGGGACCACCAGTGTCAGGATACTAATTAATTAATTAACATATGGCAGTGGGTGTAGTATAGCTGGGAGGTCCGAAGACTATCTGGCAGCCGGAAAGCTTGCAATGCCCAGTCATTTCATGTTTTCCTAGGCTCAGATCGTTTTATAGTTTTAGTTTTAGTTTCTTCTGTGATCCTTGTGCTTTCCCTTGATGTTTTATTTTAAAAAATCGCATTGCCAAATCCCACTGTCATTTTAGGTAGGGATCTTTTAACTTTATAAAGGACACTGACCAATATAGTTAAAATACAAAATTAGTTAAAATACAAAATAAAATACAAAAAAATTAAAATACAAACATGCTTAAAACAGTGAAACTCTTGCCATATTTTGTTTATTTAACAGTCTTTGACAACTGACACCTGCTATTTGTCAGTGTCCTTTATAAAGTTAATCATTTATATTTATTTATTCATTTAATTTCTATCCCGCCCTCCCCGCCATAGGCAGGGTCAGCTATCTGGCATTACATTTTATGACGTCTGCCCCGACAAAGTCCCATTTATATCAGATCTGGCCCTTGTAACAAATGAGTTTGACACCCCTGCTCTAAGGTGTTACTGAACTCAAATTTAACCAAGGTCAAGTAGTGAGTTTTGTGGAAGACTCGTGGTTTTAATCTAGTTCTCCTAGATCCTCGTCCAACACTCAAGGCCTTGACACTTGTGAGTGGAGAGCATATGAATTGTTTTGTGGTTTCACCAACCCTAAGAGTCTCCATGTGCAGTCCCACAACTTTCCCCGGTTTTGTCGATTCCACCGTTCTTGGTGGTGGATACTCCACAGATGTGTGTGTGATGGTAGTCCCTTCATCGCCTTTGTCTTCCCTTCTAGGATGAAGTGGTGAAAGCAGCGACCAGCGCCTTGACGTCCCTCTACGGCACCAAATACAAAGTTGGGCCGATTTGTTCCGTGATCTGTAAGTACTTTGGCATGGACGGTTGTCATGACCAAAGCTGACCACATGGCCAAAAAGGGGAGAGATTCCCAGCCTCTGGGAGCATGGCAGAGTGCTTTCCGACATCTGCATGCCCAACCTGGCTGCCTTTTTAAAAACACTCTCTGCTGTCACTTGGGATACTAAAAGGATTTCTTGAATCCTTTCCGAAAAGACTTAAAGGAGTTCAGTGTTACCAAGGAACAAACTAGTTATCCACTGTGTGAGACAGGAGGCTGGACTAGATGGACCACTGGTCTGATCCAGCAGGGCTCTTCTGATGTTCTTAAGAAGGCCTCAGTCTCCATGCCCTGTTGCTGGCCCTCCAGAGGAACTGTTTCGCCACTGTGTGAGACAGGAGGCTGGACTAGATGGACCACTGGTCTGATCCAGCAGGGCTCTTCTGATGTTCTTAAGAAGGCCTCAGTCTCCATGCCCTGTTGCTGGCCCTCCAGAGGAACTGTTTCGCCACTGTGTGAGACAGGAGGCTGGACTAGATGGACCACTGGTCTAATCCAGCAGGGCTCTTCTGATGTTCTTATGAAAGCCTCGGCCTCCCTGCCCTGTTGTTGGCCCTCCAGAGGAACTGGTTGGTCGCTGTGTGAGGCAGGATGCTGGACTAGATGGAACACTGGTCTAACCCAGCCGGGCTTGTCTGGTTCTCCTCAGGGGAAGGCCTTGGCCTCTCTGCCCTGTTGCTGGCCCTCCAGAGGAACTGGTTGCGTGAGGCAGGATGCTGGACTAGATGGACCACAGGTCTGATCCAGCAGGGCTCTTCTTACCTTTTCATGTCCTTAGCATGACTAAGTAAGTGGTCATCGACAGACCCCGTTCTCTATTCGGAAAGACGAGATATTCGTTATAAAAGGAAACCAGCACTATCTTTTTAAAAACAGAAGTGACATAAAAAGGCGAAAGGCAATAAGAAGGGAAACAGTTCCAGACTCCGGGGTTCAGATCTCTTGTCCAATCAAAGCTCTTTATTCTCTGATCGTATCCAATTTGGATTGGGACTTTAATGCCTGTAGGAACGGAGACAGTCTCTCTGTCTCCCAATGCAACAATTCCAGCCTGAAAAAGCCCTGAAAGATTTTCGCCATCCCTTCCACTGTGTGTGTTAAGTACAGTCGAGTCACTTCTGACTCATAGCTGTCCTATGAATTAACATCCTCCAAAGCATCTCATTAACAGCCTTGCCCAGTTCTTGCAAAAGGAGGGCTTCCTTGATGGAGTCAATCCATCTCTTGTTGGGTCTTCCATTTTTCCTGCTGCCTCCAACTTTTCCTAGCATTCTTGTCTTTTCCAAGATGGGTCGCCATGTTAGTCTGTCTGTAGCAGTAGAAAAGAGCAAGAGTCTAGTAGCACCTTTAAAGGTAAAGGTTCCCTTGCTCGAAAGCCAGTCGAATCCGACTCTAGGGTTGCGGTGCCCATCTCCATTTCCAAGTCGAAGAGCCAGCGCTGTCCGAAGATGTTTTCGTGGTCATGTGGCCGGCATGACTGAACACGGAACGCTGTGACCTTCCGACCGAAGTGGTACCTATTTATCTACTTGCAGTTTCTTGCTTTCAAACTGCTAGGTTGGCAGGAGCTGGAACTAGAGACGGGAGCTCACTCCGTCATGCGGCGCACCCGGGTCTCGAACTGCTGAACTACCGACCTTCCACAGCCTGCAGTTCAGCGTCTTAACCACTTGAGCCACCGCAGCTCCTACCTTTAGTAGCACCTTAACGACTAGCAAAATATGTGGCAGGAGAGGAGCTTTCGTGAGTCACTGCTCCCTTCTTCAGACTCGCAGTGGCAGGGTATGAACTTTTGTGAGTCACAAAAGCTTATACCCTCCCGCATATTTTGTTAGTCGTTAAGGTGCTACTGGACTCTCGCTCTTGTCTTTTCCAGTGAGTCTTGTCTTCTCCTGACGTGACGAAAGTACGATAGTCTCAGTTTAGTTCCAGGTGGTCAGCCGTGTTGGTCTGAAGCAGTATAACAAATGTACAGTCCAGGGGCACCTTTAAGACCAACGAAGGTTTATTCAAGGGACGAGCTTTCGTGTGTGTGCACACTTTTTCAAATTTTTGAATATTTTAATATTCGAAAAGCTGTGTGTGCACACGAAAGCTCATACCCTGAATAAACCTTTGCTAAGTCTCAGGGGTCATTTCCTGCAGGAGCGCACAGGAGCGGAGCTCCGGCAGTAAAGAGCCCAGGGGACGGGCACATGCAACTAGCCCCACCCCCTGCTCCCAGCAGCCCTCAGTCAGAGCAAGAAGCAGCCAGGTAAGTTGCAGAGCCCCCCCCCAGTCCAAAACAGTCCAGTGGCACCTTTAAGACCAAGTTTTATTCAGGTACAAACTCTCCCTCCTCTGCGAGGACAGATCTGCACGTTCCCCCCCCCAATAGCTAGCAATCCAAAGCAGTCCAGTGGCACCTTTTAGACCAAGTTTCATTCAGGTACAAGCAATCCCTCCTCTGCGAGCACAGATCTGTACGCTCCCCCCCCAATAGCTTAGATTGATCTAATTTCTGTGCACTGAGGACAAGCAAGTCCTAGGTTACAAACTAAACTCTCCAATGCAAGAACAAGATGCATTTCTTCCTTTAGGAGGTGCGATTGTCAGAAGAAAATAAAAAAGTTTCAGTTTTGTTTTTGCATGTGGGTGGGTGTTCTGTTTGTGATAATTGTTTGGATACACTATATTTTTAATATGCTAGTTGTGATAATTTTGTGCCAAATAAAAATGCCCATAGTCATATTTTATGTTCCTAAAGTAACAGAATGACTTTCAGTCTAGAAAAGACAAAAGAAATGCTAATTTACCATTTTTTTCAATTTTTCTGAAAATTTCCGTTTTTTTCTGAAAAAAACGGGTTTTTTCCCGAGCTTCAAAATTTCCGGAAGTTTTACATCTCTACTCCTTTTCAGACCAAGCCAGCGGGGGCAGCATCGACTGGTCCTATGACTACGGCATCAAGTACTCCTTTGCCTTTGAACTGCGAGACACCGGACGAAACGGCTTCCTCTTGCCAGCCAATCAGATCATCCCGACAGCGGAAGAGACCTGGCTGGGGCTGAAGACCACCATGGAATACGTGCGGGACCATCCCTATTGAGAGGGGGAGTAGGGGGCAGGCAGGGGGGGAAGGGATCGTGGCCAAGGAAATAAAGGCCTTGTAGCCACTGGGTGTTCCCACTCTCTCAGCCTGACCTACCTCACTGGGTTGTTGTGAGGATAAAACAGTGGGGGGAGAATGATGTAAGGCACTTTGAGTCCCTGTTGGGGACAAAAGGCAGGGTATAAATGAATGGATGAACGCATTAAATAATTAATTTAACAGTCTTGCTGGAAAGCAACACTTGGTGTCTGGTCTGTCTTCTCTTTGGCATCATAAGAACATAAGAGATGCCAATGTTGGATCAGGCCAAAGGCCCATCCAGTCCATCACTCTGTGTCACACAGTGGCCAGAAATACCAGGTGCCCTCAGGAGGTCCACCAGTGAGGCCAGGACATTAGAAGCCCTCCCACTGTTGACCCCCCCAAGCACCAAGAAGACAGAGCATCCCTTGCCCCAGAGCCCCTATCTATACCTTGTGGCTAAGAGCCACTGATGGACCTCTGCTCCATATGCCTATCTAATTCCCTCTTGAAGCCGTCCATGCTTGTAGCCACCACCACTTCCTGTGGCACTGAATTCCATGTGTGAATCACTCTTTGGGTGAAGAAGTACTTCATTTTATCTGTTCTAACTCGACCACGCAGCAATTTCATGGAGTGCCCACGAGTTCTTGTATTGTGAGAAAGGGAGAAAAGTACCTCTTTCTCTACCTGCTCTTTCCCATGCATAATCTTGTAAACCTCAATCATGTCACCCCTCAGCCGTCTTTTCTCCAAGCTAAAGAGCCCTAATCAAATTGGCTGCTCAATATACCTCTGTAGCACATGGGTGCATTTATGGATTCTCTTGTCAGTGTTATAGCTTAGAGCATCGGGGACTTTAGGTTTCCCCCCATCTTTCGAAAGAGATATTTTAAGACTCTTGCATGCAATGCTCCCTCTAAGCTGTGGAGTCCTGTGAGCAAAAATTCTACTTTGTGAGCTACTGGCGTTAAAGTTGTGAGCAGGCGATTTGGCTACGGCATAAATTAGTTTGCTCTGGAGCCCTCCTTCCTGAGAGAAGACAAAAATGTGTGAGCTGAAGGCTAAAAAACTGCGAGCTTGCTCACACTCACTCAGCTGAGGGGGAACACTACTTGTATGCCATCCTTTGGTTTAGTAGTGGACCCAGGGCTGCCAGCTCTAAGTATGGGAATCCCTGGCATTTAGGGGGTGGAGCCAGTGAAAGACAGAGTTTGGTGAGAGGAGCGAACTCAGTGGGGTATAATGCCATAAAGTCTACCCTCCTGTGGAGCTATTTTCTCCAGGGGAACTGATCTGTCATCTGGAGATCAGTCGCAACTTTGGGAGGTCTCCAGGCCCCATCTAGAGGTTATACAACACAAAGAAACCTACAGTGACCAAATTACTAACTCAGAATCCATAAGTACATAAATGTAAATTTTTATAATAAACATTTTTATTTTATTTCAACACATCAGTTTAACCAATGTCAATACAGACAAGTCTTCCGTACTAATTGTCTTGTACAGCACTGTCATTAAACTAACTATGAATATTATTTAACAAACTTATTATCAGTGAACTTCACTGAGAAAGCAAGGAACCAGAACACAGGATTCCTAAGATTACAAACATCAAAATTTATAATAACAATAACACTAACAATAAGAAAACAATATGCTCACCACGCATACCGCTATATACTGGTATATAAGTTTTTCTACTATTAGTAAAACACAAAATCCATATATTTTGGGGGCAGCTTATACTGTTGTATATAGTATATTGAAGGTCAAAGAAGATGGGGACAGCAAAGGATGAGATGGTTGGACAGTGTCATCGATGCAACGAACATGAAGTTGAGCAAACTTCAGAGGACGGCGGAAGACAGGAGGGCCTGGCGGGATCTGGTCCATGGGGTCGCAGAGAGTCGGACTCGACTGCGCGACTGAACAACAACATACTGTTGTATCGGGTTTGAGGATATATATTCAAAGAAAGTAAACCATTTGTCCATGAAATGTATTTACTCGTCACAAATGTAATTTAATATGAAAATCTTAATGTGTACATATCCAAAAATCTATTCTTATAGGAAACAATACAAAATGATCCACTAGGTATTAAAAGTCCAAAAGTAATCACATTCATTGCAAACACTTATCCAGATTTGGAAATAGCTCTTCCCTTAAGGACAGCAACCAATATTCCAAGACATCAATATGATGTGAACTGGTGTAATTATTTCAAACAGTCTGTACAGCATGGACCGATGTGTAATTCCCACCTTATTGATTCCAGTCAGTACTCACTTCTCAACCCCTGGCTCTGCTTTCACTGGTATAGACCAAAGCCAAGTTCACGATGTGGTATGGATGAATTGCTCACATCTCCCAACCAGTGTTCCCTCTAAGCTGCGTTAGTGTGAGCTAGCTCACAGTTTTTTAGCCTCCAGCTCACACATTTTTGTCTTAGCTCAGGAAGGAGGGCTCCAGAGCAGACTAATTTATGCAGTAGCCAAATTGCTCGCTCACAGCTTTCATGCCAGTAGCTCACAAAGTAGAATTTTTGTTCACAAGACTCCATAGCTTAGAGGGAACATTGCAACGGTTCCAGCTCATGGGCAGCTAGTTTGAAGGGCCCGTTTCACCGGATGTTTTATCAAAGTTGGAACAATAAATCATAACATGTTGTCCACCTAAACTTTCGCCAGAACAAACGTAAAGCAACACAACCTTATAGTCATAATCAGAAACATACAAGCAACCGGGACCAAAAATCATTAAATCACTTAGTGATCATAATTCCAAAATTCAAAGAACCAACGCTCAAAGTTTAAGAACCATCTCAATGTCACAACATGTTGGCATCCTCACTCATTATAGTCCTTCTCTCTTAGAACAATATACTTAATGTTCTTAATTGATAACACCTGGTACAACACACTGAATACTTCTGAAAGATAGAAACCAAAAATACAATCTAAAGAAACGTATACATATCAAGGGTCCTGTCCATACGAGGCCTTTTGGGCCGGGAGCGGGATGGAACAGGGGTGGAGCAAACGGGCACGATCCCATGGCAACATCTGGGAATCGTTGCCAGCCCGTCCCTGTTCCGTCCCAAACGGCGATACCGCGCTGTAAAAAAGAACCACCTACCTAGGTGGTTGTATCCCTTCCAGCGCCGCAAGCCGGGCCGTGGGATCGGGTGGCGCGTCCTTGCGCCGTCGCATCCCGGCCCCCGGCCATACTGCGCATGCTCGAGCATGCACAGTTCGGCAGCCTCCCCCTCCCATCGGACTTTCCTCTCCGGCATCTGATCGTGCCGGGGAGCGATGCGCTGCGGCTGAGGGGATCCGTGGGATCCTGCCGCGGCGTCTCAAGTTCGGTGCGGCTCTGCTTAGCCGCGTTTCAGCCGTCCCGTGTGGCAGCAGCCAAGATATGCCAAGCCATGGTGCAATAACAAACAGTTTACAGATTACAGTTACAAGATTCTTATTAAAAGCACATATAATCCAGAGACAAATTCAGACCAAAATGTGTTTAATTCAAAAATTCAAAAAGCCGTTTCTCTCAATAGGATTTTCTGTATGTTTTATCAGAGGAATGACCCCTTTCAAATTTAAATAACACAAAATACCTCAAATCATCAATACCATGGTTGTGTTATAATGTGAAACGGGAGGCACCTCTAAAATTTTATTCCTAATTCTTGATCTATGTTCCAAGATCCAGATTCTAACGGGCCGTGTGGTACTTCCCACATATGTAAGATCACATGTACATAATATGACATATGCTACATTCTTTGGGCCACAATTGGGAAATGATTGCAATTGTACAGTAAATCCACCTTGCTTGGGTGTAAATTCTTTACATTCCAAAGTCAAAGGGCAGACCAGTTTGGTGTAGTGGTTAAGTGTGCGGACTCTAATCTGGGAGAACCGGGTTTGATTCCCCACTCCTCCACTTGCATCTGCTGATGTGACCTTTGTCGTGAGTCCCGCGGAATGCTGGCTAGCACGTTAGTGCCCAGAGGAGATAGAGTACCCAATGATGAATGGAGTCAGGAACTTAGGTGCAACCACTGTGAGTTTATTCTCACCCAGCCACCACCTATATACAGTTCTGTGCGTCAAAGTGCTCCGCTGCAACTGATACATTGGAAGAAGATAAAACCACTGTACACACTTTACATATATACACCTGCTGGCCAATCAGCAGATAGCTGATGCAACCTTCAGCAACATCTTCAGTGCCAGGCTGCACTGCCTTAAACTGGTTCTGGCCAGCCTCCTAGCAGTCACATGTTGTTATTAGCTGTCACTTTTCTGACACACCAGATTAAACTCATCTAGGCCAGCCTTACTATAATGAGTGAATCACGACAACCTTGGGCACAGCTGTCCTTGAAAAAGAGCAGTTTGTGTCAGAGTTCTCTCAGCCCCACCCACCTCCCAGGGTGTCTGTCGTGGGGAGGGGAAGGGAAAGGAGTTTGTAAGCCGCTCTGAGACTCCAAGTGAAGGGTGGGGTATGAATCCAATCTCTTCTTCTTCATCATCTGCCACATTTATGATGCCCTATTACATACAAAGTTTTCCTAGGTATGTGATTGGTATTGGAGTGTACCACCATATCCTTGATGTTCTTTGTTCATCTGAACCCCACGAAAAGTGGTTCAGCACATCCTGGAATCTCCCCCAGCAGGTGCCAATAAGAATTCTATGAACTGAATTAGAAAGTGGTGTGTAGTCAAAAGCACAGGTGATCCTATTACTGCCCGATCTGGCACAGTCAGTAAAAAGGCTGCCTCTTTTCATCGAGCTATCTCTACACTTAGCTGTTTGTATCACTGCTTCAGGATAGCCTCTATTTCTAAAATCCACAGCCATCTTTTTACAGTCACTTACATAGTTAGATAACCTGGTGGAATTCCTCCTTAAATGAATTGTCCGTATGGCAAATTTCTCCTAAGGTGTGCCGGATAAAATGACTTGTAATGAAGGTAGGAGTTTCTGTTGGTCACCTTCTTAAAGGTGTGTCACGGCTCAGGTGGGGTGTCACCTGACGCTGCCACCACTCTGGTTTTAGGATCCCTTGAGAAGGCCCAGAGCACCCTCCCAAGACCTTCAGAC